TACTCAACTGTGAACAGCATTTTTCATATTTCGTCAAGATTATCGAGGACTTGCTGTAACATAGAATGAAAGAACAGAGCGGACCTTTTCCAGATTTGGTGTAATAGGTGGCACAACAGTTTGAGAAAAGTTTTCAGAATATAATATACGCCTATCTTGAACTCTGATAATGCTTGCCACCATTCAGTCCAGAACCTTTTGTCTTCTCCTCTGCTGTCCAAAAACATAAAAAATTAAATATACAAAGCTATAATCTTTCCCGTGGTTCTGAATGGGTGTGAAACCTGGTCTCTGACATTAAGGGAGGAACATAGACTGAGGGTGTTGAGGAGAATATTTGGATCGAAGAGAGATGAAGTGACAGGAGACTTGAGAAAACTTCACAATAAGGAGCTTCATAACTTGTACTCTTCTCCACATATAATTAGAATGAGCAAGTCAAGGAGGATGAGGTGAGCAGGGCATGTAGCGCGAATGGGAGAGACGAGGAATGCGTATAGGATATTGGTGGGAATGCCATAAGGAAATAGCCCACTGGGAAGACCAAGGCGTAGGTGGTGGACAATTTTAAAATGGATCTTGCAGAGATAGGATGGGATGGTATGGATTGGATTGGTCTGGCTCAGGATGGGGATCGTTGGAGGACTCTTGTGAACACGGTAATGAATCTTCGGGTTCCATAAAATGCTGGGAAATTCTTGACTAGCTGCAGAAGGGCTCCGCTCCGTGAGTGAGTAAGTAAGTATACGCCTATCATTCAAAATTATCGATTAATAACGCATTTCCACGTCGAGTGATCTGTATCTACAAGATACTATAACATTACGACCAATTTACACCTCTCTAGCACACAAAGCCCTCTAGACGCGCGATCACTTCAAAACAGGCCCTTCCGGACCCCTGAAACTCTGTGCTAGACCATCACACCCTATAGGATAAATCAAAATCTTTCCAAATTTGAAATCAGAAATGATATGTTAGGATACTCAGGAAGAGAAGAGGCAGAAAAGGAGAAGAAGAGGAAGCAGTTAAGGGATAAAGAAGACGAGAAGTGGTTGAAGGTAGAGAGAAGGAATATTACAAGCATGGAAACGAGATAAGGTTAAAAGAAAGAGAACAAAAATAAAATGGAAGACAATTAAGCTAGTAAGAAGACAATAAAATAAAATTTCTAACATTTTTTTCCTGCCATAGAATTGTAGCCTGCCCCTCAGGAAACCATAACCACAAAAACAGACTGCTTACCCACAACTTTTATTGCTTAGGACGACCGGATGCATAAGATCTAGTACATTCTGTTAAATTTTGTATTCTGCTCTGTCAGTTTTGAAGGATAGAAGCTACTTTTGAGGTTCTTTCATAATAATCCGATTGATTTACATATGTAATTCTATACTAGTATGTAATCTAGCAGTTACTGCTTGTTTGTGTTAAATTGGATCTCCAGCCCAGGGTTAATACCCCTGATCATCTAGCAGTTCATGAAACATTAGCCTGTATCAATCAGGCACTTGCTATACCCAAGCAACGAAGTGTTCCCAGTTAGCACATGTCACTGCAATACAGTCTGTTCCTCTCCATCATTTTGTCAGATTAATAACCTGAATACACATGGGCAGCAGCGCTTTGTGTCGCCCTTGATATGAACCGATCTGTATTATATGTATCCGCTGAGTGAATGAACTACATTTCCCTGCGGATGGTGTTTTAACTGACTGTAAACTGCTTTCAAAATATAAAATACCCTGAAATGAAATTCACACTTCGACGTTTTCGCCTACTGAAAAGAATTCTAACCCTATTTGACTGTAATGAGAAGTTCGCATATGATCACATAAAATGAACACAGGTAATTTACATGCGTAAGCCATTCAGTACTCATACATTATTTGTCCTCTTATATATATATATATATATATATATATATATATATAGAGAGAGAGAGAGAGAGNTTTTCTTGACATTAGCATCAGCTGGAAGTGAGTGGTCAGCTTCACGCCCCGGCCGCTTTATCCGCGGTATCCATTGGATAGGAGGCTGGGTAGACCCTAAAGCCACTTCTTCATACAACCATTGACTTTTCTATTCTTCAACCATTTATTCGTGTTTTGTTGGTATTCATTCATACACCAATTCACCCTTTTCTTCAACAACTCTACATCCGTCCTTCCATCTATGCATTCACATTGATTCATTTATCCAGTACTGGTTTTTTTAACTATCTCATAAACCTAGGCTGTTCTTCGTGTATTCTCTCTTTCACACTTACATCCAGTTGTCTATAGACTGATTCTGATACTATTTGTATTGCCAGTGGGGAGGGACTGAGTCCCTTGTGCTGCGGCCACTTCTGGCCTGTTGTATCAGACCCTGATGATAGGTGAGGGTGATTGTGGAGCAATTGGTGGCATGAAGATTGGCAGGGGAAACCGAAGTACTCGGGGAAAACCTGCCCAGCGTCACTTTTCCCACCACAAATCCCACTTGACCAGACCCGGGATCGAACCCGGGCTGCCGCGGTGGGAAACCAACGACTAACCGCTTGAGCTATGGCGCGGCCGTTCTGATACGTACTCTAGTATTCAGCATCCATTCAGTACCCTCGCAAAGTTTTACCTAAAATACATCTAAACTTCTATTCTCCTGTCATCTTAGTACTCCAAATACCCTTCTTCCAAGAGGCTTTCCTTCTAAAATTTTACATACATTCATTTATCTTCCCCCACTCCGTTTACCAGTTCATCAAAACGCCCTTTGTTTTCATACCTAACATCACTAAGTGACCTGTTTAAACCACGCAGTTCCTTATAAGGCAATATCATCATACCCAAGAACCCAGAAAGATTTCTTTATTGTGTTAAGTTCTTGTCGTGCGTGCTAAGGGATTTATTCGCCTCCCCCATTTTGTAGGAATTTCCGTCTTGTGGGTCAGGGGAGGATAAAAGAGGATGAATAGGTGATAAAGGTCAGCTCCTTTTTTTTTTTCCTGTCAGGTTGAAACTTCGCACATAGTGTTACAGTGCCCTGGCTGCACCTTCTTCATAGCTTAACAAGATTACCTCACAAATAAGCCACCATAAGCCAGCCCTTGCCCGGGTATTAAGCCAAGTACACACAGGCGAACATGAAGCGTATCCAGTGGAGACAATCCTACGCCACAGTTCTTTAGAGACGACAGACACGTCACTCCATGCCCATTTAGGTTAGGAAATAAATGTATTTGTACTGTCTGTGAACAAATTGAAGAAAATGCAAACATAACGTGTTGACCTTGATTAAGCATGTATCATATCTCATAGTTCACCTTTGAAGCCACTAAACGGAATTTGATTAAATTTAGTATGTGCGCCGGGTTAATGCAGTCGGTAGAGCGACTACCTAGGTGCTAGACGACCGAGGGGTCGGAGTTCGAGTCCCGGTGGGATCAAGAATTTTATGTTCTCCAAATTCTCCAGACTGTCTCTCGGACCCACCAAGCATCCTATTCAATTGGTACCAGGGACTCTTTCCCCGAGGGTAAAGCGGCACGGGCGTGAAGCTGACCACTCACTTCCAACTAATGCTGAGATCAAGAAAATGTGGTTCTATACATCCACTCCCCCATACGCCTTCATGGTCTGATACTTAATTACGCACAAGGGTAATTTTACTTGCTTTACTTCTGTTTCCTCTTTTTCTTCTTCTACCTTGACGGATCAGACTCTGGCCTATTCCCATTCAGAATTAATTAAATCTGAAATTATTGATCTAATAGACAGTGTTTAGGATTCCTTCGATGGGGGATCAGCCGACGCAAAGCCACTACCTACATAGCACAGCATAAACAGAAGAAACAGGCAAACATCCACGCCTCGATTGGCATTCAAAACCACGAAACCAACGTCCGAGCGAGCGAAGACATTTCGTGTCTTAGACTGCGCGGTCACCGTGATCGGGCCTTATTATTTATTTAGAACCGAAATCTTAACACTTTCATTACACGGCCCATCGTACGAAACATTTATCCGTGTAGGATAACATGACACAGACCGCTTACCGTTTACGACTTTAATTGAATTGCTCTGAGCTTTACGATGCTGAGAGGTACGCTGTAGCAAAGTTGGTTGAGGCACTAAGCTACAAGCTGGAAGGTTGCGGGTTTGAGTTCCGATGAGGTGGATTTTTTTTTCAATTTACTTAATACTTCAAGCCGCACTATGGCCCTGGGGTTGACTCAGCCTCTAACAGAAATGAGTACCAGGAATCTTCCTGCGGGGTAAAAGGCTGCCGGAGCTTGAGGCTCACAACCTCACCGCCATCTGTGAGACGAGTGTGTAGAAAATATGGTGACCTCAACGTCTCACAACCCTATGGATCTTCACGGACTGTTACAGGGATAGCTTTACCTTTTTTTACGTCACTGAAGAATGTCTGAGAACAAATTAAGAAGAAAATAAAATATCAAGGGGAAGTAGAAAGCTGATCGATTAGAAGCTTCGTCATTTATGCTCTTCACTGAATATTGCCAGGGTAATTATATCACGGAGTTTTTAATTGGTTGAACATGTAGTACGAATGGAGGAGTTAACGTATAACACACTGCGTGTCGGCAAACGTCAAGGGTAACGACGAATGGTTAAATTTTGTGAAGACGCTGATAGTAGAAGCAGAGAATGTGTAGACTAGCTACGCGACTGACAAGTCTTCTTGCATCATGTGGGACTTTCGGTTCCTTATAGGCCGCGCCATAGCTCAAGCGGTTAGTCGCTGGCTTCCCACCGCGGCGGCCCGGGTTCCATCCCGGGTCTGGTCAAGTGGGATTTGTGTTGGACAATGTGGCGCTGGGGTAGGTTTTCTCCGAGTACTTAGGTTTCCCCTTCCAATGTTCATTCCACCAATTGCTCCACAATCACCCTCACCTTATCATCTGGGGCAGGTACAATAGGCCAGAAGTGGCCGCAGTACAAGGGACTTAGTCCCACCCCACTAGCAATAAAAAAAACTACGGTTCCTTGTTGCAGGCAAGTCGCTGCCGGTACACTGCGTTGTGGAGGCAGTGTCTGCGTTGGAGGACTCACGGGTCATGTGGAGACGCAAGCCAGTCGTCGAGACGGACAGTTACGTCATCATTCCTGTGAACACAGCGTTCCAGGAACTGGTTCAGGTCGCTCTGCACAGGCTGGGGTACCCCAGGGAGAGCACCTCGGCGGCGAGAGGTCAGTTTCAAGTAATTATTTTGGTAAATTTTTTAAGTTTTTCTTGGCAATCTCTGACTTTTTTTAAAAAAAAATGCGAACAGTAATGAGAAAAACGTCATCCGAATGTGGTTCAATCACAACACCTTGTGTACACTAACCCAATGCGCTAACTTATAAGCTAAGTTACATTCTATTGGAAGAGTGTAATCTTATATTTCCTCAACGTAGAATTAACAATACAGAATCTGTATGAATGTAAGTTTGTTCAAGTGGAAAGTAGGCTTCATAAGCTCCGTTCGGAGCTCCCTTTTAGGCTAAAATATTGTCACGTGTAGGACGGTATGCGTGACGAAAATAACGGGTTCTAGTTTGGATGATTGGATTTAATAGCGTTTCGGTTACACTCTCTCTTAATTACAATTAGCACAGCGCTATGACTGTTTCTGCACTTCATAATTCACTGTTACACACACAACTAGTTTTCGCCTGGTAACGCAATTAAAACACAGGAACTAGCGCTTCAATCACTCCAGATATCACTGCACTACAGCACACGTAAAGTCTCCAACGTCCATTAACATTTCACAGCTGAATCATCACACCTCATTTCCATGACGGCTTCGTGTCCTTGACTCACGGGTTCTCGGCTATGACTATCTACGAATTGTAACTCTCCTGCCCTGAACTTAAATTGCATCTGAATTCACTTCTCTTATAAACACTGTACACAGGCCCCATGGAAAACACCTATTATTGTCGACGTGTTTACAGTTCCGTTGCTTAGGAACGGATTTTATAACACCGTTGTTCTACTGTTGCTTGTTGCGGACGACATAGAAAATACAGCCTCCTCTATTGTTGCGCAACCTAGCAACGGACTGTTTACCAAGAAATTATCTTCGCGGGAACTCGATTAAGAGCTCGTTGCCTAGCAATGGGTGTACGTGTCACATTATCTGTGAACTGAGTATATATACGGATAAGGAATTTAGTGCGAAATAAAACCTAGCTCACAAAGAACCGACAGTTTTAACTCATAATACCACAAATCAAAATTCACCATTGAACAGTGGTTAGTCTTAGGAAGCGTCTACAGGTGTAGAGGAGGCCTGGAGGCAAATCCGCACATTATATACTTCGATATTTTAAGAAGCTGAGCAGTTTTACATTCCGACCACCTTTATTGTTAATGAGTAAAGAACTCATGTTGTGAGGATGTGTAACTTATGGTAGATGACATATCTGAAGGCCTTTATTAGGATTTGAGGCCCTGACCGTAGACTTCTCGGCTGAGAGGACACAGACAGGAGATTTGTTCTGAGAGTTCGATCCACGGCCCTTCTGAATGCGAGTCACGCTCTGTTGTAACAGTGACGTTTCAAATGTTTAGTCAAGCTAGGGTTCCTTCATAATGATGGAGTATACATACCGTTTGTATTGTTAGTTCAAAGTGAGTGTTGCATATCCACGTGAGCACATCATCAGGTTGTCCTTCCAGCTGTTCAGTTCCCATTGCGTCAAAGTATTAATGGAAATGCTTCCCTCTGCTTAACTCCACACATGTCGCTACAGAATACGTTAGACATTTCCAAGTTTGTTCTTTCCTTTAATTCTAGTTTTAAAACTGGCTACATAACTAACTAAAACCAAGAAACGTAGATAAAAAAGCTAAAGTTGTCCCTGTGCTTAACTAATAAACATTACACCATGAAGGCGTATGGAAGAGTGCATGCATAGATCCATATTTTCTTGACCTCGACACTGGCTCGAGGTGAGTGGTCAAATTCACGCCCATGCCGCTTTATCCCCGGGTAAACAGCCCCCGGTACCCTTTGAATAGGAGGCTGAGTGGGCCCCAGAGCTGGTCTGGACAACGTGGAAATTCTTGACCCTACCGGGACTCTAACTCTGACCCCTCGATCGTCCATCCCGTAGCCAGTCCCTATACCGACTGCGCTATCCCGGTTCTCTAAGAATTCGATTCCCGATGAGGTTATTGGATTCTTAAATTGAGCTAATCCTTCCAGCCGCACTATGGCCCTGGAGTCGACTCTGCCTATAACAGAAATGATTACCAGGAATCTTCCTCGGTGTAAATGAGGACCGGCCCGTAACTTCGCCGCCGTCTGTGAGCAGAATGTCTAGAAAATGTGGGAGCCTCGACGTCTCACAACCCTATGGGCCTTCACGGGCTGTTACGGGGATGGCTTTACCTTTTACCTTACCAGATTAATATTAAATTCTGCTTAGTTCGCAATGTCCAGCTCTGATCAAGAATTAATATTTACTATAGTCTGCTGAATAGTGAACTGCGCTTTGATGGGTAACTTTCAGTTAAGCAAACTAAAGGTATCCCTGTAACAGGCCCTGGAGGCCCATAGGGTTCGAGATGTTTGAGGTTCCCACATTTTCTAGACAATCTGCTCACAGATGGCGGCAAAGTTGTCAGCCCTACGCGCCGCTTAACCCCCAAGAATATTCCTGGTACTCATTTCTGTTAGAGGCTTAGTCATAGTGGGGCTGGAAGGATTAGGTAAATTGAAAAAATCCAGTGACTTCATCGGGAGTCGAACCCGCGACCTTCCGGCTTGTAGCATAGTGCCTCAACCAACTACGCTACCGCGTAGGACCAAGAATTCATTTTTCAGCAGTCTGTTTAATGTTGAACATTGATTTGGTTTGTAAGGTTCAGTTGTAATCAAGAACTGGAAGCCCCTGAGTTTTGAGAAGATCGCTGAGGGCCCCACAGTTACTGTGGGGGACATCTTGGGGGAGCTGACCACAGTGGCGACGCTCAGGATACAGCTATACAGGTGAGTTCAACAGTTACATATGATACAGATATTATTATAGCCGTAACCAATGCGCATGCCCTCAGACGTACGATATTTCATGTCCTGTTAGAGTAAGAGGTTTTCCAGATATACCGCCTCTTCCATTAATACGTTTTATAATTATTGTTATTATGGCTCTGCAGCCCTTTGTTGGGCCTAGGCCGCTTTTTCGGTTTCTTGATCCCATACACAGGAGGCAGGATTCCTTTGACGAAGGATCAGCCCGTCACAAGGCCTCTACCTACATACAGAACAACAAAAACACACGCCAAACACAATATAGACATCCATGCCTTGAGTGGGATTCGAACCCACGATCCCAGCTTACGACCAAGCGAAGAAAGTTTATGCTTTATACTGCGCGGTCACGGTGACCGGCACATTTAATAATTACACCACGTAAATAAACGTGTAATTGAAATATGAATATTTCTTTCAAAAGGTGAGGCAGACCACCCATTTAAAGAATCTTATTTATCGTTTAATATATTCAGAATAGCCCCCAAGTTTATACAGAATCTAACAGTCTGCTCTTCCGAAGGTACAAAATTCGGATCTGTTGCTGGATGTCTGGATTAAGATTCTTTGTGAGTTTCCTTAGTCTAGCCAAACGAATACCGGGATCGTGTCCTTCAAAGTAATTTTCTGTAAATTTACTCTTATCCTCTCATCTCAACCGTCGCCAGATGAAGGAGCATTGTCAGATATGAATATCAAATCTTAAAACTTTGTGTAGTTCGCACAGGAACACTGAGTAATCGTTGGTAACCATATCATTGTTGGTATATTGTATTTACTCCTTTCGAAAGTGTATTTTGGATGGACTATTATCCTGTGTTTTAAGAGACTATACAGTGTCCGGATGAAAGATATCCAAAATAAAATAATTATATCTCTGAAAACATTTTTATACACATTTATGGCTTACACTATTACAAAGGGAAATTGTGATTTTTTTTTCTGAGTATATAACTTTCCAATGAATTTAAATATGGGCTCCCTTGGTGGCACACAAATATCCAGACGATATTCGACCTCATTCCACTTTGCTTGAAGCATGTTTGGTGTTACCGCAGCCACAGCGTTCCTTGTGTAGGCTTTCAGGTGTTGAAGCTCATTGATCTTAACCTGGTAGACAGTGTTCTTCACAAATCCCACAAGAAGAAATCAATGAACTTAAATCTGGTAACTAGGAGGTCAAGCGATTGGTCCACCTCTGCCGATCCGTATCCCAGCATCTCTGTGTCCAGGTTATTCCTAACATGGTGGCAGAAATGGGGCGGCGCATGCGCGTAAGAAGGGCAGTTTTCCGTTCCGATGACATAAATCGGATACTTGTACGACAGTCAATTTTCGAGATATAATTTTTTTTATTTTTGATTCCTTTCATCCGAACACCCGTATTTGATTACCTATAGAACAAGGTTATGTCTTACTTTAAGTGTCAATTTCAGAGCTCGTCCAAGTATCCTGTCAGACATTAAAGACAAACTGCTACGCCTTCTCCTCGCTCAGTCCCACGGCCTCCTGATGTCTTCAGGCTGTCCACTGGACGAGGTAAGTGCGCTTCTCACTGTTCACGCGTTCAACCTGCTCTTTTGTTTCTTCTTATCCTCACTTTCGGTGTTCATTTGTTTCTATTTTTCTTTCTTTCGACAGTCTACCTCATCCCCAACATATCTGCTCAGAACCAGTAAAAATGTTCTTAGAAGTATAAATATTCTGCATAATATGTGCTCATTATAATTACGCCAGTCCTTCGATTACCAGTCTTAATAAATTTTATCCTTTTAAATTAAGGGATAACAGAATTATATTCTATAACGAAAACCGTTATATACGAGTATTATTTTCTCACGTGTGTGAGAAACACGAAATCTTGATATGGCAGTGGGTCACCAAGATATGGATGACCGAACCATTTCCTACACCACGACAGTTCTTCAGATTTACCAAACATGACTAATTTCTTGAACACATCTGCTCTATGTAATACATTATATTTATGTAATATTTGAGGTTTTCACGGCGATATCTATGAAGAATGCCGTCTTCTAGGATTTGGCGCCGTGTAGATCTTGTGTGAATCGACGTTTCGGAAGAACGTATCACCTCCATCTTCAGGGTAAAACTGCGAGAGAGGATGCAGCCTGCAGTCACCTGCTCAAGCTGTTTCCTCTCTCGCGGATTTTATACCCTGAAGATGGAGGTGATACATTCTTCCGAAACGTCGGTTCACACATTTAAGACATCTTAAAAATGGTCTAGACAGAACGTACTGACTTTAGTTACTTAACTGGTTAGTTGGTCAGACACTCACTCAGTAAGTTAGGCGATTTAGTACTTCCTTTATTTTCGTGTATGTTAATTAATTACCAGTTGCTGAATCTGTAAGTTAGGTAGAAGGACAGGTGCTTGATTTCCGTTTGTATAGGTAAAATAATTAAAAGAATCTCCGTGGCCTGTAGTCCTCAAGCGAACTATACCGACCGAGCGATCTCCGCTTGTCGGCGAAATTAGTGCCAACTTTAGCAGCTAGAGGGTGTCACGTGGTCAGCGCAACGAATCTTCACGGTCGTTAATTTCGGTTTTCTAGACCGGAGCCGCTGTTTTCTTGAAAGAGCTCCTCAATTATCCTCACGAGGCTTAGTGGACCCCGTTCCAGACCCACTACTTCTCAGAATTTCTGTTAGCGCAGGGAATCGAACCAGGGACCTCAAGATCTGTAGCCAGGAACTCCGACCACTAGACCACAGAGGTTATCATAAGTTATATAATTATGCATTGAAATTATTAATATCGTTAGACTGTAGAAACGAATTTTTGTACATGCCTGGTGGAAACCGATCCGAGTCCCCATCAATGTCCTGCCTAGAACTTGGAAGCAAGTTTCTCCAAGTGACATAGGTTCCTGTATTTTATGTCCTTCCTACTTCCCTTATGCCTTTAAGTATCCCTAAGTAATTTCATTTTGCTTGGCTTTTGATTTTTTGTGTAGCACAAAATACACAGGCGTGGAGGGAGATTTAATATAAATGCATTTTCAAGTTAATGCGGAAAAAGTTATTATACCTTGTCATCATGGCGAAAGACAGAATATATTTAAAAGGGTATCTCACTCATCCTTCATTCTATTAACCCCTTTATTTAAAAAATATTCGACCCCATTCCCGTTATTAGAACTTGGGGTATAATGCTACCAGCAAAGAGTGACGGGTGTAGGGTGGGGTAGGAGTTTCAACCTGCTACATGAGTACTACAGAAGGGGCAGGGTTTTGAGAAGAAGTTGGGATGGTTGTTAATAGGGGTAGAAATGGGATGGGTGGTATGTCTTTTGATCTCATTAATACTATGAAATAATGCTTCATAATCTTATTAAAATGGAGGTTAGGTGGAAAGCAATCCCTTATATATGTATATATATATGGTTGTGACTAGTGTAGCAGCTGCACTTACTCTCTCAGCGAGGGTTGAAAGGGGGTGGGATGTAGACTAAAGCTTAGAATCTTCCTCTCTTCTCTTCATGAAACCAGGTTTCTCTTTCCGAGTGCTTCCAGTTACTGAAGCAGTGAAATCTTAGTCCTTTAAACCGTTAGCTACGAAAAGCGACAGTTTACGAGTATATTTTCCTATGCCTGATTTACGTAACGTCGGGTGGGAATGATAAAGCGTGCATGTTTGGACTGGCGATACAGCGATGATTTTTTCGTCAAATCAAACGGGTCATTGCCGGTCGCGGTAGCCGAGCGGTCTAAGGCATGTACTGTCTTCGCTCGCTTGGAAACCAGGATCGTGGGTTCGAATCCCACTCAGGACTTGGATGTTTAGTTTGTGTGTGTGCGTTTTTCTGTGTTTGTGTACAGGTAGAGGCCTTGCGATGAACTGATCACCCGCCCAAGGAGTCCTACCTAATGTGTAAGATCTAGAAAAACCGAAGTGAACGGAGAAGTTCATGGGAGTAGGCCCTAGGCCCACTGGGGCTGTAGTGCCAAGGAAAAATAATAATAATAATAATAATAATAATCATCAACTCCATACCACTTATCCTGCGTCATCTGGATACTTACTGCCACAGTTCCTTCTTCATTTAGATCTGAACTCTTCTGAAAACTGCGTAACACAAATATTTGCACTCCAGAAAATAGAAGCCAGTGACAGATATAAACTACACGAACCCTCGTAAATCCGGCGACAGTTAATTCGAATGTGGGATAATCCGGATCGAAATATGAAAAATAGAAAATTCTGTTGACATTTAAGTACATGCTTTGGAAGCTAATGAGTCACTTGTCTCTTCAGACAAAACTTTACAGTTTCTTCAAACCTGCATTATTACGTTCAAAAATAAATGCAACTTCTGAGACTTCTTTCGATGAATAAATGTATTGTCATTTTAGTGTTCTTAAATAGAGGCTCTACAATGATATTTGTTAAATTATTTTCATCGCCAATATTTATATCATTACATTTTCCATCTATTTCTGTTCAAAGTCTTTTTATCTTTTAGGGCTAACCTTTGCTTTACTAATCCGGATTATCGTTTAATCCGAAAGACCTCTTCCCCCCCAGTTAATCTTTATTAGTGAGGGTTTACTGTACAAAGTGAAACATCGTAAGGTTTTACCGCGTTGGACTGACTACATAATTAGGATATAAGAATAAAAATGGATACATAATTCTGACGAGGAAACCTCATGGAAAATTAATAATAATATAAGAGGAAAACGTTAAGTTATATGTAAGATTTGAGGTCTTCATGGCGGTGATTATGAAGAATGCCGTCTTCTGGGATGTGGCGCCGTGTAGATCTTGTGTGAACTGATGTTTCGAAGGAACGTAGCGCCTCCATCTTCAGGGTAATTATTTTTTTTCTGAATATACGTTCCTAGGAATGGAGATAGGTGGAACTGATCCAGTATTATACACAGTACTGAGTTTTGTTATATTGTCGATGTTGTATGCGACAACAGAAATAAAATGATGCCTATTTGAATGTTCATTAGCACATATGATTCTTTTGTTTCGGGGTACTGAAGAGTTCTAGACTCCATATGACAATTTCTTTCCTCATATTTGTAAAAATTAGCAGATCTTATAATGATACATCTCGACCGTTACAATTTGTATTAATTGTTAAAAGAACAAGACAACCACCAAGTGTAGGAAAGTTTTACTAAACTGTTGCTTCATTAAAGTATTCAGGTCACCGACATTCCCACCAGCGTATCGCCAACACAAAGCGTAGCAAGGCATATAAATAAAGAAACCTCCGTGGCCTATAGTCCGCAAGCGAACTATAGCGACCGAGCGACCGCCACTTGTCGGCGAAATTAGTGCCAAATTTTGCGGGTAGAGGATGTCACGTGGTCAGCACAACGGATCCCCACGGCAGTTAATCTCGGTTTTCTAGACCGGAGCCGCTATTTCCTTGAAATAACTCCTCAGTTGTCCTCACGAGGCTGAGCGGACCCCGTTCCAGACCCACTACTTCTCAGAAAATATGGTAAGACCGGGAATCGAATCCGGGACTTCTGGAACTGTTGGCAGGAACTCTGACCACTAGACCACAGAGGCGGTCATGAATATAAGATAACTATGAATAAAGTACTACCCAATACTTCGTGTGATGGACACGTAAATGCAACCCGGTAACATAAAGACAGAGCAACTTCAACAGATATCAGAACTTCATGCTGTAAATTGTAGGTGTCATTTTAAATGCGCACATAAGGAATCTCCTTGTATTACACGAGGCCTTGAAGATGGTCCTGTAGGATCGAAATGTGTATAGCAATTTTATTGATTTTAGAGTTTAGTACAATTTTGTTACATTGATGATTATTTTGTTCTTTAAAAGCTGACCGTTCTTTTTCTCATTCGGAAAGAACTCCGTTTAAGTGTCAAGAAACATGATAAATACAAAACTCGAATCATTCATACAAATATTTCTGGACATTGTCCCTCGTCCTGGTTTTATTTAAAACACAACGTTTCCGATATTGGATTCTGTCTCACTCATTTGGGCCCAATCAATAGGGCTTTTCCCTGTCATTCGTCTGTGATCATCAGATATCAAACTATGAAAACTTTGGATGTCTATTGGAAACAGTTTTATAAATATATGCAATTTGATGCCTTATATTTTTGTCTTGATACAGTATTTAGAAGCTCTTGTCAGAGGATATTTTAAGACGATGTACGAGTAGTCATAGAACATATAATTTGTTTATTAAGTGCTTTCTAAATAGGTCTTACTTACTTACTTACTTACTTACTTACTTACTTACTTACTCATGGAGTTGAGCTCTTCTTGAGGAGCCGCCAATTCTACAGCTACTCAAGAATTTCCCAGGATTTTATGGAACCCGAAGGTTCATCACCGTGTTCACAAGAGCCTTCCACCGGTCCCTATCCTGAGCCAGATCTATCCAGTCCATACCATCCCATCCTATCTCTCTAAGATCCATTCTAATATTGTCCACCCACCTACGCCTTGGTCTTCCCTGTGGTCTCTTTCCTTCTGGCTTTTCTAAATAGGACAGGAAAACAAATATATG